CATATTTCCAGGAATATTTTATTTTATTTTATTTTTTTATTTTTATTTTTATTTTTTTTTTTGTCTTTTTCCGTGTCCGGCAATGGATCGCAACCCTCAGTGTTGCTCCTGCGCCTCGCTCAGCCAGTGAGCGGGAACCAGGCTGTATGTGGGATCCGAACCCTCGGGCAGGAGTGCCACCGCGCTTCCCAAGCGGCGCACCATAGCAGTGTGCCACCGGGCTGGCCCTTCCAGGAATATTTTAGAATTGTCTTTCACAATGAACAGGGAACAGACTACGATTTCAAAAGCTTTAACCCTTCCCAGCTTGGTAATGAATTTGAGAGCTTTGTGCAGAGGTTTGTTGAAACTTCAGGGCAGTGATCCTTAGCCTGGGCTGCCCACTGAAATCACGTGGGAGCTTTTGAAAATGCAAAAGCAAATCCGCACGCCCAGGCATTGGATGGAAGTGGGTCTTGGGCACTGAGAGTTTTAAAAGCTCCCTGGGTGACTCCAGTGTACAACCAGGTTAAGGACCACTGCATTAGACAATAAAACAAAAAGCAGTGTGTTGCTACTCTGTTCTGTTGCAAGCCTGGCTTATGTTGGGACATCTTGGCCCAAAACCAAAGCAAAAAAAAAGATTGTGTTATTCTTGCAGCCTGTCACATTTAAATCCTTCTGAGAACACTCCAACTATGCTCCTAACAACCATTCCACTTCTATATAAAATGAAAACAGTTTTTATCTTTGGTTCACTTAATGCTGTTATTTAACATTTTTTAACAAATACATTTCTTTCACAATGGAGCTTGTATTAATTAAACTTGCTGGATCCCTTGCAAGGTCTAAGTCAGAACTCATTCATCTCTGGCAACTGAATCACCGACAAATGTTTTAGTGTTATTCCTACTGGCAGGAGCACGAGGCGGCTATAGCATTTCCCTTAAGGAGGCATTGCTTAGCTACTGAATGTTTCCGTAATCTATCTTTTGACATGCCTTCTTTTTTTTGCCGACCCCTGAGACTCATTTACAGCTGGAAAAAAACCTCTGCTCTCTCCTTCCATATTAAAGACCTATCCTTCTTCTACCACTTTGAAATAAGATAGGGTACTCCAAGCTGCCTTGTATTGTGATAGTGTTGTACAAACGTAAATTCTCATCTGCTTTTACCTTCCTCTTTCCCCCACATCCTCTTATTATTGGCAGCCTGATTATAGCATTCATAAAATATGGCAAGCTCTTTTCCTTTCTCCAAATACTTTCTGCAGGACTTATTTTGCTTTTTCAAAAGAAAATGCGATTTTGGCTTTTGGGTTCTCCTCATTTCTTAAACACAGAGAAGGAAATTAACTTTATTCAAACAATAAGTGACTTGGTCTAAGTGGCAAACTTGACTCACGTGATGAATCTTTTTATTCCCAATTCACTGTTTTCCCTACAACACAGAGATAGGCAACCATTAAGGAGACTTTGATGTCATTTCTGGTCTCCACTTCTACCATTTCTTCCTTTTCTTTTCCATTCGTTTTTCTTCAGGCTTCCTTTCATTATCATTTCTTTGTTTCACCTTCTCTCCTATGCTTCCAGGACTACTGGTGGTACCTGGGAGCACTGGCTTAAAAAAAAAAAAAAAAAGCCCAAACAAACAAGAAAACAAAACAAAATAACAAAAACAAAAGCTGCTATCCTCTTCATGGGTTTATACAGAACTTATTAAAAAATTTGGAACTCTAGACATCAGCAAAACCAGTTAAAATTGGCATAAAAATATTACCCACTCTAAGGAAAAACAATGACAGATTAGTCAAGATCAATCAACAAAGAAAAATAATAGTATAACAATTTCTAAAATTGTATTTGTTTCCATATGTTTGATTGTAGGGGTGTGTATATGTAAATGTATAAGCCTATCTGTTTAGGCTTTGGCATTATTGGATAAATAATCAACAAAGAAAAATAATAGTATAACAATTTCTAAAATTGTATTTGTTTCCATATGTTTGGTTGTAGGGGTGTGTATATGTAAATGTATAAGCCTATCTGTTTAGGCTTTGGCATTATTGGATAAATCTGAAATCATTTTTATATTCCCAATGCCCAGCACAATGCCTAGTACACAGCCGATGCTTAATAAAAATTGCTGAAAGAATGAAGGCATCCTATTTAATGGGGCTTATTGAGTCTCAAATTCAGCAAAACCCAAGATATGTTTTATTATGTTCATTAATCATAAATGATTAGAGCCATTCCTGAATTCATGCAAAAGTGTGGGGGAACTTACAGGAGAAAAAAATGGCTTAGACAAATATTGTCATCTGTACTGTAACTCGCATGTGCTGGAAATAATGAATCATGATCATATTCTATTGCTACTTTTAACTATAAGCTAAGTTAATTACAAAATTACTTGCCATGACATCATATGATTCTCCATTTCTAAATATTTTGCTGGGGTTTTGTATTATTCCTTGAACAATTAGTTCCTCCAGGATGTCTGATGACTTTTGTCGCTCTCGATTCTCTAGGGTTTGGGGTTTATTGATTAGTCCCCTGGTCACTAGGTCTTCCAAAGGAAAAAGAAAAAAAAAGAAAACAAAATTTAATTACCAATCAAATGCTAAATGAATGCCTTATACATTATGCCTCTTAATTAAATCTTAATCTCAACACTTTTGTCTAAATATCTGTTTCTATTATAAATCTTGAAACCCTTTGAAGTTCAAATTCTTAATGTTCTTACAGAGGATATATATCAACATAATATACTGTTTACTTAACAGGTCAAATATTAACATAACAAAAAGTCTTTCATGTGCTGCTATGTACTACTTTTTGTTGTAACGACACTTATACACTTGGATACAACATGGGTCTAACCCACTAATTATGAAGCTAAACCACAGCTAAGAATCAGATATTCTTCTGGTGACTCTTATGAGTTGCAGTTTGGTTTCTATGCTTTGTATACAAAGGATAAACAACATGCTGTTGCCAAGAGACTTCTAGTTCTGCAACCCTGAGTTTATAAATGTGCCATCTGCTAAATCTACATAAGTAAAAGTAAGCCTTTTTGAAAAGACTCTTTGAACCAAATAAAAATTGGAGTTAGAATGAAATTGGCTAAGTTTTTATTAGTGATTCTAAAAATGAGCACAGAAGCAGTTTATAGGGGAGCCTGAACTAATGAGAGAGGTTTCCTCCATTACAAATCACCCAATTATATAAATAAGTGAATAAGCAGCCGCTTTTATGTCATCACATTAGAAAATAAAGGGTGCTGGCTTGTTGGGCCGAAGACAGCTCTGCTTTTCTCATCAGAGGCAGTGCAATGCAGAATCCTCAGAAGCAAGCTATCTTCTATTTCATAATCATCAGGAAGTCCTGATAGTAACCAAGTCCATTCCACTTAGTGGATGCAGTGTTTTTATGAAGATTTCTAACCTCAATGGTTAACAAAGACAGCTTTCATGAATTTGTGCTGGGAAGGTAGAAAACACACACACAGGCACATACAGACATTAATCAGATTTCTCTCACTTCAGAATATTAAACTGCCTGTTACAAGAGATTTCTCTAACCGCCCCTGCAGCTAACGCCAACAAATTACCTGCCATCTCAGATCTCAGCACCTTTCCAGTGCTGCTTCTTCTACCCATGCAGGTGTTTGAAATAGAGCTAATTCTCACTTTAAATCTATACAGATTTTAATACAGAGTAGTAAAACATGCCATCCATGCAGGTAAACTGGAAACTCAAAACAAAGGAGAAAAATTCAATAAAAATTTCAGAGGTGAATCCTCTTCTAGGAATTAGAGTAATTTTTTTTGTTCTTGTTAGAAGGTGGACTTATTTGGAAAGGTCAAAATAATAACAGTTACTATTTATTGAGTGTGGAATATACTATAAAGCATATATATCTCACAGGGCCTGGTTTTCCAAAGCCTTGCAGTTTCAAATATTGACCTTGTGGAGGACTGGAAATTTTCCTCAGGCTATAAAGTCTCTCATGTAAGATAAAGGTTTGTGGCACAGCAAGGTTGCTGACTCAAGGACAGACCAGTTACTGATTGAAATGTAAAGATACTGGAAAATTGCTGGAGGGAGAAGGAATGTTTGCTAAGATCAAGCTTATGTTGATAGGACCACTTAATTGCCTTACTGGAATGTCATCTGGCTTGTTTCACTGAAAGTTACCAGCCTATATTGTTAAACTATAACCCCACCTATGTTCTCTTCCTGTAACTTCCTGGTCTGGAAAATAAATGAAGGAAGAGAACCCCAATTGGTGGTTAATTTCCTGAGGAAGGGATGCCTCTCTCTGGAGGATTCCCAAGGGAATTTCACCACTTCAGGGTCTCTCACTGATCAGAAGAGATGGGCTTTGAGTAATCCTTTGCATCTCTGTCACCCAGGGGAAGTGGGGTGACAAATCCATGGGGGGCGAAGCAACAAAGCAACAATTGAGCACTTACGCACCTGCACTATTCTAAGTACTTTATATGCTGCATAACATCTAATTCAAACATAAACTCTGTGAGAGGGATATTATCACTATTTTATAAATAAACACACTGATATGAGGGAGGCTTATGAACTTGCTCAAGGTGACATGGGTAGCAAGTGCACTACCCAGGAATGAATCTAAAAGTCTCTTTGACTTCAACACCCACGTCCTCACCGTCTCACTGTTTTTCCTCTCAAGTATGTCATGTAAATGGCTCCACTGTTCTTGGGCCATTTCTCTCCCAGGATGTTTCTAAAAGGAATGTCATGTTTGACATCTGTCACTAACATAATAAAATTATTGTAACCATTCCAATCCATTCTTTTCTGAGTCCACTAAAGTATTTGACTTGAAATTTACAGTAGCCAACTTTATACAGAGATTCCTGGAACATGTCAGTCATTTCAACTAATTTTCAGGATTTCTTGGGACACTGGAGAATATTGGGGAATACTTAAAAATAACATTGTGCTTCTTTCTGATTATAAAAGTATTACGTGGTTACCATAGTAAATTTACAAAATACAGACAAGAATAAAAGATATAATAAAAATGTCCATACCATCACCATCCAGAGATTACCATTGCTAATATAGAAAACTTTATTTTAATAAATTTGACATCATACTGGGCACACAGTTTTGTTTCCCACGTGGTTAACATTTACATTAGCGTTTTCTTATGTCATTAGAAATTCTCTAAAAGTATAAGTGTAAAAAGTGAAATTACAGAAGAAAACACCGGTAAATTCGTCTTTAACCTTGGTATAGGAAAACGCTTTCTAACTATGACTAAAAATGCAATTTCAATGAAAGAAAAGGTTGATAAATTTTACTCTACTAAAATAAATTTTTGCAAGGCCAAAAAAAAAGAAATAATGGGAGTCAAATATAGATATTATGTAACTTCTAATCTTAACTATGACTAAAAATGCAATTTCAATGAAAGAAAAGGTTGATAAATTTTACTCTACTAAAAGAAATTTTTGCAAGGCCAAAAAAAAAGAAATAATGGGAGTCAAATATAGATATCATGTAACTTCTAATCTGATGTACTAAGACGGACACAGTATAATTTTTGATATTCTTGCCCAAAATGCATAACCTGAACCCAATCATGAGGAAATCTCAGAAAAACCCAAATTGAGGAACATTCTACGGAATAAGTGGTTGATGCTTTTCAGATATATCAAGGTTATAAAAGAAAAAGAAAAGCTGAGGAGTTGTTCAGATTAAAGGATACTAAAGACACATGACAACTAAATTAAATGTTAGATCCTGAATCTGAAATTTATTTATAATGGACATTTGTGAGACAATTGACAAAATTTGAATATGGCCTAAAAATGAGATAATAGTTCTGTATCAATGGTAATTTCCTAATTTTGCTCCTTTTTTGGAAATTATGCAAAAAATATTCGTGTTTTGGGAAGCACACACTGGTGTATTTAGAAGCAAGTTATCATTGTGTCTATAACTTATTCTCAGAAAAAATATACTTGTATATGGGGAGGGGGAATATCATAATGTAAATGTGGAAACATATTAGCATTTGGGGGATCTGGATGAAAGAATATAGGCATTCTTTGTTCTTTGGCCTTTTTTGGAACCTGAAATTATTCAATACAAAATTTTTTGAGAAAAGGAAGCACTTGGGAAATGTGAGTGTGAAACTTGAAATTCTTAACAAATATACTGTGCAGATGTGAAGAGCAGGGATGCAGAAAGGAGGACGCCAAGGAATGGGAGAGACAGAGGAAACCAGGAAGAGAACGAAGATAAAGTCTCGGGCACTAGGTCTTCCCCACTCTCTGGTAAGATGCTCCCTGGAAGCTCATTTGCACTACAGCCTAGAAACTTCTGCCGTGGTAGAGGACTCCCTCCCACACTTTCTTTCCTAGCACTGTCCTCCTTACCTATCGCCCTTCTCATCCTGCCTGTAACGGTGGACAGCGGCCAGGACTGATAGTCCCAGGGCACTCCAGGTCCCTGTCTGCCTGATAATCTGTAGTCTGTTAAGAAGGCAGATACTTAGTATTCACGTTGCAGTCTAGATGGGAAGAATGATCAGAGAGAAAAAAAATGTTCACGCTGACCCCATATGTAGCAGACAGGGAGGAACCATCCCTGTACCATATTTCTTCTCCTCTCTCCTACTTCGTTCTCAGAGATCGTGCCGACACCACAACAGAACCACATGGATGTAAAATCTGTGATAACCTCAGAGTGTGGCAGGATAGTCCCAGAAAAAGAATCGCATTTATTAACCCATCTGTTTTCCAATCCTCACTTGTACCTGAGGAAAAAACCACAGTCATGAGGAGTAAAATAAATGTCCTCCCTCAAAATAAAAGAGTACTTTTCCTTGAGGTCTGTGAAGTTCAATTTGTTCCAAAGGCTGATTGAATACAAATAAGATGTCTTAAATCAGCACCAGAGGGTAACTTGAAGAAAAGGAAAACACACCATAGGAAGAACCACAAATAGTTTCTAAATAGCACACTAGGTTGTAATTGCTTCTTTCATGTTTTTGAAAGATGCTTTTATTGTATATTTGCTGAGACTTTGGATGGGAAGAGACAAGGGGACACAGTTTGATGGGGGTTTTATTTATTTTTTGCAAATGTAGAACTTTCCCTTGAAAGATGTTAGCAGAGAGGGAGTTTAAATTCCTTTAAACTGTGCAAGTCCTATTCCTAAGGTTTGTTTCCAACTTCCAATAAAGGCTATTAGTTAAAAAAACAAAAAACAAAGATGGTTTCAATTACCTCATCCACAAGCAGATCAATGGTTAGCATTATTTGCTCATGTAATGAATGCCTAAAGCTAAATTCTAATGTCTTAGAGATAAGAACCTCGCCATTTAAAGTACATCATGGCCCACAAAACAGTGATAAAAAGGCCACCAGATATACCTAACATAATATATTTAGAGAAATGGGATTTTGTGAAGATCAACATGAACAGAGTCTTTTACCTGAATTTGCTCTTCTGTTTCTTTCACCAGGAGATGGAGAACTTTCTAGAATGGTTCCAGGTAAGCCTCCCACCTGCGTTTGTTGTTCCAGGCATGCTGCATTGTCCACCGTGTCCTTGGGCAGTGCAGCTTCAACCTGGGAGTAGCAATTTTCCCCAGACTGAGTCACAGTGACATTAGCCTGTGAAAAGGGCATGGCTTTGTGAGTCAAGATCTCCTGAAAAATGAGAACGATGTTGCAGGGTCTGCTTTGTGACTATTTAACCACCTAGTATCTGTGGTAGACTGAGTACCCGGAGACTTAGTAGATGTTGTCCTATATGGCAAAACGATTTAGCAGATGTGATTAAATTATGGTACTTAAGATGGCAAGACTATCCTGAATCACTCAGGTGGGCCCTATCCACATAAAATAACAATGGAGAGAAACGTCAAAATAGATGAGTTTATTCAGGAATGATCAGGGTATTATAATCGGGACATGCTGATTGGATCATAATGACTGATGGATCATAAGCATGTCCAGGGAGGCTGAGGCAAGAGGAAGCTTTTAAAGGCAAAAGGGAGAAGTTCATTGCTGTGGATTAATTGAATTGTGTCTCCCAAAGTTCATATATTAGATGCTTAATTCCCACTGTAACTGTTGAGGGTGGAAAATCCTATTATGGTAATTGAAAGGTGGGGCCTTGAAGAGGTGATTAGATTGAAGGACCATGCAGAAAAGAATAGATTAATAATGGTGGTCAGGGGCATGGTTCTGAGGACTTTAGAAGAAGAGCATATGAGCGGTTAGTCTCTTTCTGCTCTGCTGTTTTCTGCCATGGGTCGTGGTCACCACCACCAAGACCCTCACTAGGTGGGTTGCCTGGACTTTGGATTTCTCAGCCTCCAAAACTGTAAGCAATAAATTTGGTTTTCTTAAAAATTACCCAATTTCAGGTATTTATGTTATAAGCAACAGAAACAAACAAATGCATTAATGTAAGCTGTTTTGAAACAAAGTTCATTAGTCATAGAGGTTCATTGTAGGAGCTGAAGATTACTCACTGGTAACATTGATTGTTGCTGAGGAGATATCTTCATAGAAACAACTTATCCGGAATTTTTTGTGCTGGTAGAGAGTTTATAACAGTTCTCATCACAGGCGTATGTGCTTAAGGGCCTTCAGAGGGTCTCTGCAATAGTTCTTATCTCAGACATACAAGCATGAGATCCCCTCCCTCATGACTTGCTGGCTCTGCTTTGGTTTAGGTCTGACATAAGTGACTCTGTCTTGCCATTGGGAGCTTTTACAGCCCTAAATTCAATCACAAATGTCCTTATAAGGGGGAGGTTCAGGGAGATTTGACTACAGAAAAGGAGAAGGTGATGTGACAATGGAAGCATAGACTTGAAG